GTGCGGGAAAACCTTTTCTGCAATGTAATGATCACCCGCCATCCAAGGGTACCCTTGTCTGTGAATAAACGGTGCGGGTATGTGTTTCGTGTTTTACGTTGCATTTGCTACCGAAAGAAATTAGCTGAACTGACGTAACTTCGCACACGTTTTTCTTGCATCGATAACAGACAGTATTAGCCGGTCTAACGTAATGCATCTGCCCCTGTCCCTTGCTTCGCGCCTGATGGCACAAGCCCACTTAACGTACCTCTTTCATCCCTCATCCATTGCAGAGTAAAACGGAGCTGGATTTACACTAATCCCTCTGACGAGACAAGAAGAGCGCGCACGGTGCGTGCGCTCTCAAGCTGCCAAGAGGCCCACGTACGTTAATGTCAATGTAAAGACAGCACTGGCTGCATCGATGGGCCATTTGCTATGACATCTATCGTTCGTCGCCCTAACCATCGGTGAAGTCGTGCATATCATCACCCACTGTTAGTACCGACGGCTGGAGGCGCTCGGTACGCTCGGTACCTTCCCATCTCCTCTTTTCTTTCTCTCAGCCTCGCTTCGCGTATTATGTGGCGGGGACCGCCTGGCCCATCCGTCCTGTGATAGTGGCTGGTCTGGCGTTACGGCGCGCTCCTGTCCTGGAGTGGCGTCGGGGACGGCGGCCCTATCCGTCTTGTGACAGCGGCTGGTCTGGCATCACGGCGCGCTCCGGTCCTGGAGTGGCGTCGCTGCTGGCAGTTCGCTAAGCCCGCGGGACGGCGGCCCTATCTGCCAGTAGACGTGCCTAGCCACCCGAACTTGGTGACCCGATCCCTCTTTCGGAGCTTGTGGTTGAGACGCCTCCGGGACTTGCCATCGTAAATTGTCTATCATCCGCCCAGCATCGTGCCATCCCCGATGAACAAAGCATGGCGTGGCGCCGGACGAAGCTCGTTGAACCACACGCCAGTGCAATGTTGAAATATCAGTGGCATGAGCGCATACTGATAAAAAGGACACATTATGAAGTACATAGCGCATCGCATCATAGCCACAATCACTCGCACATCATGCGTGCTCAGTTATGACAGGCACCAGCGTTCATCAGCGGCACACAAAACACCCAGGGATCCGGCGCTCCGCGCCCTTACGGTGGCCCTTCATACAGCTTGAGAGGTCCACATGCGTTTGTTTATTGACGAGGTGGTTCCTTTCTCGGATGGATAAGCTTTAATGTCATCTTGAACGATCATTGATGGGAAGCTAAAGGGATCATCAGAGCGATCAAAACACCATCAAACAAGGAATCCGATGCTCAGTTTGCTGCTTTGTCAGCGAAGCACTTGTAGGATTGCGATGCAGTCAGGGTAGAGGTCTACAAGAAGGGAGCTTTTTTAAAGAAAACGCCCCCTGGAATCTTGGATCCGCGCCTCGTGTGTAACAAAAAACAAATGAGAAGGGGTCTAGGGCTGGCGCTTCGGTCGCAGTAACGGAAATCAATTACCGCCACGTGATCTGGTACCGTTGGTGGGCAGATTTACCAGCATGGCTCGATGACATTTACGCTACATGCGTACCTCGGGTGATAACTGTGCTGATTGTCGTTCGTACATTTTTCACCGCATGACTGCTTCCTTGAATGGAATTGTGATCGGTTGAATACAGTTATTCCAAGCAAACAAATGGAATTTACTGAAGTTCTAGATCGCAGTGCCTAATGCAATCACCGGTCGCATGTTTTAACGCATTGATGGAAACGAAATGCCACCAATGAAACTGTATCAAAACCGCACAAAAGTAGGACAGCTTTACGTGTTTCGCGCCATCTTGAAGAGGCCTTATTCTGTTGCCCCCGCTCGCAGTGACTGGTCCTTAGTCCGTGCCAAAAGTTCTTGTGCTGCATTAGGTCCGTCATCGCTGCGCACCACAAACACCATCGACATTGTACAAAGACACTGTATTTGCCAAGTGGTACAGTATATAATACATGTCATGCGAAGCGAAAAGCATGATGCTGTTAGGCGGCCGAAGCGGCCATCAGTCGGTGTGCGGCCGAGCGCCGGGGGGATGGGCCCTCTCGGGGTTTGAGCATCAGTCGTAGCAGCACGCCCGTGACTAAAACATGCCCGTGAGGTATGTCAGAGGGGAAAAACACACAACATATCGCGCACAGTAACACACCGGGCCACGGAGCCAATGGAGCGCGAACCAAAGAGAGAGTCGGGGGAGGAGGCGGCGAGACAGTATCTCAGATAAGGCCGAGGGGGGGGGGGGGCAGTATCTCAGGTGAGGGGGTCTGCAATGTATTTGAGCCCCACGACTTTATGGACAAACAATGCGCATGATATAAAACACGAGTCATCACACAAATTTTCAAAAGCTCAACGCACCATGGTCGAAGTCGAGTGGAAACCAGGACGTTGCGCACAAATCAGCTTGTTTTCGCAGAATTGGCCCCCTCTAACATATTTCCTACGCCTGTGCACAGGGCCACAGGCCAGCCAACATCACCGGGCTCGACGATTCTCAACAACATAAGAAGCCCGGCAAGAATCGCTCCAACAAAACAACAGGAGATTCCGGCAACAACAACGCCACGCACATTCCTACCACTAAACGGTGGGCACAGTGACTGGGAAGTCACTGCTCGTGTCGGGCATACCGAGGGCCGGGGAGGGGGGGGGGGGGGGCTCCATCTGTAGTCGGCAACGCCGCATTTGGTCACGGTCCAAATGACGTTGGGCGAGTCGACATGTGTAACTACAGACCAGATTTTCGGCATCACCAGCTACGACACCCTCTCGGTCCCTCATCGCGGCCTCAACAGACGGGCGTGGTGGGTGTCGCTAGGCAACGCAAAAGGAGTCGGCGGCACTGGGCTCTGGCGAACGGCTGACAACGCCCAGTACTGCTGACCATTCCGACCACGTCAGACTACCGACCGGCACCGTTTAACTGCACTACACAGGTTCTCGGGGATGGTGGCGTTTTGAACAACTACGGAGAGTGAAGTGCCTGCGCGGCCTAGGTACAACAATACAAAACACCTCTATATACATGGGTCGGAGTGCGTGGGCGACGCCGACACGTCACGCATCTTCGCATCTTCACGCTTATGTACAACCTGCGAGGAGCCGGGGAGGGGGAGGGGGCTCCGAGAGTTGGTCGGCCCGAGAGGACCGGTTATCACAGGAACAGGTGCGACCGAGCGGGCGGCGCGCGCGCGCCAGCCGCCGCCGGTCCACGCCGCACCCCGCCACACGCTAGCGGCCGCCGCGACGGCGCCATTAAAGCTGTCACATTTGAACCAAAGAATCGCAGATGTAATGCCACAAAACCTCCCGCCGTGCAAAAAAATATCGAGCAACAGCACGGCGCAAAACGCAAACACACGATTGTACTCTGATGGCGAACGTAAAGCATGAATGGCAGTAGCGTTAGCGAACACAGGTGGGGGGGGGGGGGAGTGTGCGGCTCCGGGAACTGTTTCAACAGACCGTCTCGGTGATTGCCTACGTCGCCGAGAGGCGGTGCACGCCGGCGCGGGCCGCTGCCGGTACTGGACTGGTGCTGAAACCTTCCTGGCGCAATTGCCTGCACTGGGCGGGACACTCCATGCGCGGGCACGGGTCGGCGGCCCGGGAACGGGTCAAGTGGCGGCGCGGCCGCCCGGCGACTATCGTGCCCGGCGTCAGCAACCGGGTCGAACTCGTAGTGGTCATCAACGGAGATGTCGAGCGGTTGCGGGGGCGCCCAGTAGGCCGGGCGGCGGCAGGTACGCCGGCAAGTGCGTGCCGGCGCGCTCCGCCGGGCGCCAGTGAGGCGGCGGGAGTGCTGCCGGCGGCAGGCGGCGGCGGCGTGCGGCTCCAGTTGCGAGTCCGATATATTGCTGCGAGGATGCCGACGACGAGTGGGTGCGCTGCGACGTGTTCTTGCTGCCGGAGCCGAGCCCGCTGGAGCTGGACTTCTCGTGCGGCGGCGGCTCGTCGTCGGGCCAGCGCGAGAGGGCCGGCGCGCTGGCCGGCCGCAGCAGGCCCAGCTGGGAGCGCACTCGGCCGATGGCCGCCTGTAGCTTGTCGCGCGTGTAGGCACAGCGGCCGGTCGGTGCGGCCCAGAGAGCTGGCCGGAGACTCTTCGAGGGGCTGGGGGTGGCTCGGGGCCGCGGCCCGCTGCACCGGCGTCTGCGGCTCGGGCGCGCGACACGAGCCGCGGCCGGCTGGGTACGGGCACCGGCGGCGGCGAGCTGGTGGCCAGCGGCCGCTGCGGCCGGTAGGCGTCCAGCACCGGCGGCCACGGACCCGTGTTGGCGTACACGGGCTGGGCGCGCTGGCGCGGGCGGGGACGCGGGATGTCGGCGATTCGGGGTGCTCGATGTGGCCACCATGTGCACGTGCTGGCCCGAATCACGAAAGGCGAGCCGCGGCTGCAGCAGGCGTGGGAGCCGCGGCTCGGCCACGGGCGCCCGCCAGCGGCCTTCCACCGGCCAGTTTTCGTAGTGCGGCCCTCCAGCGTCGGCCCGCCGCCGCTCGTGGATGGTGCGCAGCGCCGGCAGCCGAGGGTCGGCCGGCGCACCGGCGTCTCCTGCGGGCCCGCCTGGCGCTCCCGGGAAGCTGGGCGTCTGCAGCTGCGACAGGCGACGACAGCACTGTGCTGGGGAACGTTCGCTCCAACAGAGCCGGGCACCTGCACCGAGCTCAGGTCGGAGAAGTCGAACGGGCCCAGCTGGCCTCCCAGCGGGCCGGGCGACGAGGCGCGGAACCGGCGACCGTCCGGCGAGAGGGCCACGTGCGGCGACACGGCCGGCGCCTGCTCGGGGATCTGGTGGCGGCCGAAGCCGTGGCTCACCCGGCGGCCGGCCGGCACCGGCGTCGGCTCTGGGGAGCGCCGGCCGCGCTCCACGTGATAGATTCCCGTTCGCAGCGGCTGCGGCCGCGACTGCAGCTGCCGGCGCCGCCGCCGCTCGCCGGAGTCGGTCAGGAAGCCGCCGTCGTCGTCGCCGTTGACGACGAAGCGACCGTCGGGGGTGCGGGTGATCCAGGCCAGTGGCTGGCTGTACTCCATCTCGACGCTGTAGACGGTTTTGGCGCGGCGCGGCGTCAGGTCCAGGTCGTCGATCAGACTCTGGGAGAGGCCGGTGGACGGCCGCGGTCGCCACAGCAGCTGGCTGGCGTGCCGAATCAGACGCGGTACTCGGCGCACGTACCTGCGGCAGCAGCACAACGGCCTAATCACACCGCTAACATACGCCGTACGATCTACATTCCCGGCCGGAAAACGCGTCGGCTCCGGTCCTACCCAATCTGTGAACGCGCCTTAAGTCTCCAGTCTAAAGCACGGCGGGATCAAGGATTCAGTCAAATTCGACACTCCTTAAAGTTCAGCCTCTTGAAACAGTAGGGCAGGCAGGTGAAGCAGTGCAGCCCAGACATCCGGCGGTGGTCTCAATGGCCCTATCCGGCAGACAAGTTTCCCAGATATCCCCAATCCCGTTTGTCTCGTCCTGTCGCAAAAGCGAATAAGTAGGGATCACGCCATTGTTTTGCAATATGCTGAACTGCATTCATGTCATAAGCACCTTCTATGCGTTAACCAGCGCTTTGGTAATTTACAACTATAATCTTTCTGTAGGATGTTCGCAGCATTCGAGCAGAGTTTGATTTTACAATTTGCGTTTTGGTCACCGTATCAGAGTTTTCTAAGAAATCATTCATTCCCATAGATAAGGCAGTAGTCGTAGTCTTATTCCTCAGAAAAACCAGGAGAATGGATATATGGTTAGGTTGACATTTCGGCAGCATGCCTTTATCGAATTAATAGCAGACGTGAACTCCTTACGTTATATATAATTGACTTCTGATATGTTTCGATAAAGACATCTCACCGAAATGTCAACCCAACCATATTTCCATTCCCCTGTTTTTTTCCGAGGAATAAGACTACTACTACTGCCTTATCTATGGGAATAATGCTCCTCGCTAATACACTGAACAACTTGCGTAAATCATTCATTCTTGCGAAATGTTAAATGCCAGTGCACTAATGTGCAACATCGATGCGAACGGAGCCATTACACCAACGATGAAAACTTTGTAAGCAGCTTATCGGGGTTGCCTTACCGGGCCGCACTCTCCCTAAACAAATATTTTGATGTACAAAACAAGAGCTGTAAGTAGGACGGGAATTTTGCGCCGTATGATAGCACGTGTCTAAAGTAAAGGATTCTGTTGTTTTTTCCTCCAAAAGTTCTAGCCCGCTATATTGTCCAATGTTGACTGACGCGTTTGACAAATCCCGCACCGAAGCGCAGACTTTATAGTGCTTTGAACTGCCCTTTTCGAGCAAACATGCCTTCCCGCATCAGCCATAGCATAAAGAAAACAAAACTAGAGACGTTGGAGATACAGCAGCCAAACTCAGACACACGGACGCATGACATTTCATCGGTCATGTAAGGAAACGGCCCGTGTGAGTGCGTGCCCCGCCTCGGCACCAAGGACGCTCGGTCACGAACAGTTTGGAGTACTGTGTACAGCCAGAGTACTGTGTACAGTTTGGAGCACTGTGTACAGTCAGAGTACTGTGTACAGTTTGAAGTACTGTGTACAGTCAGAGTACTGTGTACAGTTTGGAGTACTGTGTACAGTCAGAGTACTGTGTACAGTCAGAGTACTGCGTCGTGCGGATCTCACCATCCGGGACAGTCATCTGTGCACGGCCGTATAGACTGCGAAACTGAACTCTCCTTCTTCGTCGCATCTACACTCTTGTGGACCAATCGCAACAACGACAAAGCGCCATTGTAGCAAAAGCATGGCGCAATATCAGCGATTTTCATATTGTGAAAGTTACAAATGACACCTCTGCGCCCCAGTCGGTCCCGGTGATGCAGTGGCTTTGATACGGTGGGTTCCGTCTGAGACCCGTCGTCCCATCACAAAGAAATGAGTGCGGATCCGCGACATTAATGATGCAGCAACACCTACTGGCGCCAGCATTGCTATGCCTCCACATTTACTGAATATGCTTATATGCGACATCAGTGCTGCACGACAAAATGCATCCTTCAAAGAATATACCCATCATTAGTTTGACTTTAAAAACTTCTTGTTTTACTTACACTTGACTTTATTTATAATGCAAACTTCCACGCGACGTTAGTGCTGCACAACAAAAGTCATGCTTCAAAAACTTATACCAGTCATCGTTTCAACTACACAGAGATTCGTGTCGTATAGCACTAATATCCTGCATGAGTCTTTGCAGTAGAAGTAATGTTGTGCATCAATAAGGTTGTCGAGCTATTGCTGTACCAGCTTTGTCGGTCGTGCTTGTCGCCACACCGGTGGATGCGTCACCAAGCACGCCGTAATGGCGATGCGCCATCCCAAGCCGCCGCGACACACAGCAGAGGCTAGCATACACCACACACAAACAGCAAGGAGACAACAATTAATATTCGCCAAACTAGCGTGTTTCCACCCTTGCCCTACGAGAGGGTCTCAAGCCCTCCCAAGGTCTCAAGAATTTGATAAGCCAGCGCCACGAGGAAAACGCCCCTTAAGGTACTTCTCAAACCATATCGGATAGGTGTGACTCAACGATGGCGAATGTGACCTTTGATGGATCAAATCAGGTCATAGGGGTTAATTTGGCTATTAATCGAACCCCCTGCCATCTCACGAACTGAACCTGCAACGCCAGTACGGGACACGTCATTAAATAGCTCTTGGAAAACAACTCGACGAACATCAGAGGGCGTCGACGGGTGTAAGCTGCGACATGCCACGTCTGGGCAAAACAGTGTAGGCTGTTTCCCGTCCTTCTACGTTACAAAAACAATAAAGAAAGTCCCGCTAATGATAAAAACGAAGCGAGAAATTTCTTCAAAAGCCCCAAATTTATGTCAAAAAGGCACATTGCACGTTCAAAACGTCATAAGTCAAGGTTCAAAGTCCGACCAAACAAAAGACGCAATGGATCATACGCCGTCAAGGTCAGGAACTTCAGTAAACTAGGTCAGCATTTCGGTGCAGCGCTCAGAATCAGATGTTCAGCCGTTCAGAAGTTCTTCAGGAAAAACCTCACGCGAGTCGCCGAGCTGGCTCCCCTCGAAGGGCGAGCATTAGCTCGTCAGTCGCCGGCAATGCCGCGATGTGAAGGAACAGGTAGGGCGGCATGCACCATAACCCACGTACTAAAGCAAGCATGCACACCGTGAAATGTGAGCAGCGTAGGTTAAGCGCAAGCTTGTGCTCAATGACTGTTGGGCTGCCATATCCATTCGAATCTTTCAATTAATGCAACGTGCAGGAAGAGCTGCCTAGCTAGCGAACAGCTCTGCCATAGCGGCTACAACTCTCCCCCCAGCGACGGGCAGACCGATGTCGTCGTTGGTGTCTCTTTTAAACCTACCGCTTTGAATGAGTGTCAAAATGGCTCACGTTGATACAGTCACCAATATATATATATATATATATATATATATATATATATATATATATATATGACAGCCCCCCCCCCCGCCGCTGCACGAGTAGGATGGGAGGCAGGCGCTCTGACCGACTGAACCAGGGCAGGGACACGGCTCTCGTTGTGACAGCAGTCCCCAACAGTCCTCGGTAAGTGTCACGCACCTCACATTTGTTACCCAGCTACGTACACCTACCACAGGCAGCCACCGATAGAGCTGCGGCCCTATCTCCTATGACACCTATATGCACACTTGCCGCCACCGAACCCCGCCCGTGTTAAGGGTCCTATCTCAAATGTTCCCGTGGTATCCATCCACAGCCAAAGCCATTGTCGCTCCTGGCCTCATTTCCGTTGTTTCTCACTGCCTCCCGACTGTCCATACTCTCCATCAGCCGTACGGTTATGGCTCTTCGGCTTCCGATAGTCTCTCACTGGTTGCTGCGAATGTGTGCGTGGTTTATCCAACTCCTACCAAGCAACCTTATCCGCACATCAATGAGACACATGATCGACGTATCTAAATCGCCGATTATCTCACTTTTGTTCTCCGCATGTTATACTACGCATCGAATTTATATGCATTCAGCTCTCTGAGTAACCTCCTTGTTCCACGCCCTGTCAGTGCCACATTATACTGCATTACACCTGGCCTAAAAGGGACCGGTCGTGATTCGCTATCCCGCTACCAGCGCTGCTGGCTGGCGCCAACTCCGGTGAGTGTGCCGGCCAGGTGCCACACCACACACAGTTACCACGCGTAATGGAGAGAGGCGTCGGGCGCAAGCAGCCGTCGGTCCATTTGCAGTGGAAAACCGCCACCTGGCGCGGAGCCAACGCAAATACATCATTGGCACCGGCCGTCAAGTAACGAGAGCGCCAGGAAAGCTCATCAGGCAGGCGGGAACAGGAGAGGGGGGGGGGGGGGGGGGAGGGCAGCCGCACGAGGGGAACCACACGTTCACATCCGACCCGGGAACACATGGCTCTCTCTCTCTCTCTCTCTCTCTCTCTCTCTTTTTGCAGCTCCGTCAAATGCGCACTACATAAAAGGCAAACATAGCTGACAACAGACGCATTAACTGGTTGAGCTCCTCACACACTGTGGTGCTGACATACAGCCTGGCACCTGGTAGTGAAAATAACTATCTACGGTGTGTTAAAAACGCAAACACAAAAATCAACCACGGCTGTCGGCACACCAAAAGATCGAAGCTCTCTGTAACGGTACGCATGCCAGGGATGAGACAGACACCTTGGGGTAGTCCCAATGTCCCATGAACGGCATTCATGCAGAGGGTACACATTCGTAGCACATCTAGGAAGATTACTGAACTGGTAATTACATGGTTGATTCGTCTAATAATGGTCTAGCGACGGTCCGTCACCTTTCTCGAGCGTCCTGAGGTGTAGCGTGCGGGCAGAGAACAGACGATCGTCATCATGTGCGCGACACATCACATAAATACTTCGATCTCATTTAAGGGAATATTACACATTTGACGATACTGAAGCAAGCATCCGGTATGATGAAAAGGCAGGTCTAGATAGCATAATTTCTCTGATTAGTAAATGCGCTCCTCAATACACCACTGTCACATTACGTACCGTACCTCGCACAGCATTGGTTAAGAACCAATTGTCGACCGTCATATCTGGTTATTGTGCTCACAAACGACAGATATGAACGTTCAAGATGGCTACTTCAGTTTAAAAAATTCATACAAATGCGGAACACTGCCGTTAAAAGGCGGTCTGGCACTGAAAGCACATCAAGCAGACGCTTACAGATGACTAGTTATTGTGTTACTATTAGGCGTCAAATGCAGCCAGAAGCATTACTGGCAGTCACAATTTGCCGAACAAACAGCAACTTGTATCTCTTTGACGGACGCGCAATTGCTCAAGGAAGCGTTTTACAACCATACACTATGAAAAGTACAAAAAAAAAAACACCGCTGATTAGACATAACCATCCCATTCATTGATCCCAAGAAGTGCTGAGTGTATCGCAATTTTGCAATAGAAACCATCCGATCCTGTCATACCATGCCGTGCATGGAGTCGCATCCAATCAGCCAGCGATCGGTGGCGGCCGTTGATGGCCCGGCCAGCGATCATTGATGGCCGACCAGCGATCACTGATGCCCGGCCAGTGGTCCTTGATTATTCCAATCACGTCATGCTATTCTCCCATTACAGGACGGTATTGAATAGCGCGGTACATATATTACATTATAACTGAGGATCTGGGGCGTCTGATGCTTTTATGATGCTCTGGTTGTTCCTTGCGACTAAAATGTGGACTTCTCAGGTTCAAAATCCCATAAAAAGGTGACGCATTGCCAGTTCTGAGAGAGCTGTGGGCAATTGCACCGCCGATTTTTTTTTTGTAGTAATATATATGCAAACACACAAGAAATATGTATGTACAGAACTGCGTATGAAAGACAAATTATATCATTTTGTAAGGCCGCTGAACAATGGCGGGTCATAGTCAGACCATGGCTGTCAGCGAAAGCAATCGCTTATGAGTTGTTCATTCTAATACGACAACGGAGTATTAGACAAGTTTCAAATCGACTCATATGACAAAATCTGCTGAAATAAACATCAAGTCTGTGGTTATCTTTAAAAATTCGCAATTATCAGCAGCCCTCCTCCACAATGCACAATTCAGTGCTAGTCCGGTGTGTTCACGTTTACTGCTGGTTGGCTCGGACGGAGTGACGTCGCTGCGAGGCCTTCACAAGGTTCATGAGGCTTCAGCGCTAGAGGAAGTCCCAACCGTTTCAGCTTTACGTTTGTGCCCAAAACGCGGCACTGAGCATTACGCCCAAATCACCAGCAAAAATGGACTGATTCTTCCCACCGCCACCACCGCCGCACAAGCCACAAATCAAATCGTCTCTACAGCAAGCCCCACCCCACCGAACTGGAGAGCACTTACTTCTTCAAAGGCACAGGACTATGCAGACCGTTGCGCGCCTCCGTGACGCGACACGCCACCATGTTGTACTCTGCAACAGGGGAGAGGAGCGGACGGCGCCGCGGCGTCAATCCTGAGCAAACATCAAGCGGTACGCCGGCGGCACCGGCCAAACGGCCGCGCCGGCCAGCTAACCTTGTTAGGTATGCCATTCGTCGACAGCACCGATCAGCCATGTCGGCCGGCCGACTGACGCGAGAGCGAGGCTTCCGGCCGCCCAGCCGGCGCCGGGGCGGCGCGGCCGGCCGGGGGTCGTCAGCCATGACACTGAGCGATGCTGGCACCGGCACACCAATGCAAGCGCGGCACCCGGCTCACTGAAGCGTGAGGGTCGCCGGCTGATGGTCAACACACATACAAACACACGGAGGGCATGCAGACCGTGCGATGGCGCACGCACGCGCTCACGCACGCACACACGTGGCGCGCCGAACCGGCGGGTCAGATGACACGTGTAGAAATGAGCCGACGCGCCGACCCAGCGCTCCCGTCCACCGTTCACAAACTGATGCAGCAAGCACACACACACACGTGGTTCGGGCGAGCTCGTTATCCAATGTTATTTATGACGCATGCTTCTTGATCCAGTTTGGAAACCCCTCCAGCCATTAGCATGGACTGACGCTCAGTACGCTTCAGGTTGGCATGACCGCAAAGTGAGACCAAGATAAAACAACTGTCACAAAGCATATCTCTCATGCACTCACCTTTCTCTTGTTTCCTTCGTTTGCGCTTGTTGCATATTTTGACGGTGCACACCGAGAGGATGATGGAGACGATGAGCAGGAGCAAGCCGCCGACCAGCGCCGCAGTGATCGCCTTCTTCTGGATCCGGTCCGACATGCTGTATTTGAACTCGGCGCTCGAGCTGAAGCCGGTCGACGTGTGCGCGTACACCCGGAACGCGTAGTCGCGGCCGCCCTGCAGGCTCCGCACTGCCAGGCGGAGAGCAGAAAGTCAGCTCCAACCGGCTCCGACACGGCTGACTGGCCGCTCGCTAGTTGGGGACTGACTGGCCGCTCGCTAGCTGGCTAGCTGGGGACTGGCCGACCGCTAGCTGGGGGCTGGCCGACCGCTAGCTGGGGGCTGACTGGCCGCTCGCTAGCCGGGGGCTGACCGCTCGCTAGCCAGGGGCTGACCGCTTCGCTAGCTTGGGGCTGACCGCTCGCTAGCTGGGGGCTGGCCGACCGCTCGCTAGCTAGGGGCTGGCCGCTTGCTAGCTAGGGCTTGCCGACCGAGCTAGGGCTGGCCACTCGCTAGCTAGGGGCTGGCCGACCACTCGCTAAGGCTGGCCGACCGCTAGCTAGGGCTGGCCACTCGCTAGCTAGGGGCTGGCCGACCGCTCGCTGGCTATGGGCTGGCCGTTGCTAGCCACAAGCTGGCCGACCGCTAGCTAGGAGCTGGCCGACCGCTGGCTAGGGCCTGGCCGCCCGCTAGCTAGGGCTGATCTGGTCGTACGAGGGTCTGCCCCAGTGGGGCGGGGGCTGTCTCAGGGGTGCGAAGGGTGTATTTCAGCAAGGTAAAGAATCCATCCCAGTTACGTCTCAGCCTCATCGACAGCCCGGAGACGAGAGCGGGAGGGACAGGGGGAGGGGCAGGGGCGCCGGGCGCCCGGCCAGCGGACGCAAACTTCGCGACCTGACGAGGCAGCCGGCACGCTCAGGGTTCAACAGACTTTGGTAAATTGAACAGCACCCAACAGAGCGTGGCGCCGCTGCCAGCGAGAAATTCAGCCGTCAAGACAGGGCGCGCGCCCACGTCGCTCGCGACCGTATGCTTGCGTCGAAAAGCGCTCATCAACCCTGTGACTGCTTTACTAGTTTTCTGAATATTGGTAGCTGTAATTCCAATCACAACATGTCGATATAAAAGGCGAGATCAGTACATCGACTGCTGCAAGAGCAGAACCGGTGTGTCTCGAGCTTTAGTTGGAATTCTAAATAGTACCACGTCCTTTCGCAACCATCATTACACTATATGCATACCGCGTCTCGTTTCTGAAGAGCTGGAAACTAAAAACCAGAAGAACTTACGTCTTTAGAAGCGCAGGGCTGTGAACTACACCGATCTAATCTTCAAGATGGCAATTTCAGTTCAAAACCACACACAAATGTGGAACACTCCCTTTAATGCCACCGTGTTCGAACCCTCCCCGCCGAGCCCACCCAAGCATCGTGACGTCCACCCAAACATCGAACGTGACCAAGGCCCAGATGATCACCTTTCTCACACTTCAGAAACGCCTACTTCTCCTCTGCTCTCGGCTTTGATCATGCACCATTCGCTGACCGCCCTGGACGTGCCGGGACGCACCCCTGCCAACGGATGGCTGACGTGTGACGTCGCCGTAGCCCGGGAACGTACCCCTGCCAGAGGATGGCTGACGCGTGACGTCATAGCCCGGAACGCACCCTAACCAACGGATGGCTGGCGTGTGACGTCGCCGTAGCCCGGGAACGTACCCTTGCCAGAGGATGGCTGACGCGTGACGTCATAGCCCGGAACGCACCCTTGCCAACGGATGGCTGACGTGTGACGTCATCGTGGCCCGGGAACGCTGTCGGCCAATGCTCCAGGGTCTGCTGCAAGCTATCTTCTCACTGGCCATCTTTCACAATTTTGATAAATCTACATCGGTTTTGAAAATGCAGTGAAGCAAGCCCTCAGATGTTATGCGATTTTTATCCAACGCATACCCATATCGACAAGAAGTGCTTCGTGGCACGATCATCTCTCCCATGCTTTGTAATTCGCAGGGAAAGTGTCCCACCTTTGGGGCATATTTCAAAACAGATTTTAGTGAAAATTCAGGACTGGTTGCGTCTAATAAGAGCGCTGGGTAGTGCCACTGCAACACCGTCAAAATACGATGATATAAATTTTAATTACATTCGAAATTATGAATTCCAAGTTATGCTGTCTACGCTCTTTAACAGCACTACGCTCCTTTCGCTGAAGGCGCACCCAGCGTCCGCACGGCGACGGTCGTGCGCGCATCTACTGGAGCAAATAAAAACAACGTTTGTGATTGGCCAGCGAGCAACAGCCTGTTACCAACAACTTGGTTGGTTGAAGTTTGGACCGGTGCATAACATGGAGCATGTGATACTACTCCGCTTCCCAAAGTCGAAGTAGCCCGGAAGAGCCTCAGAGGTTTACGCCACTTATAAATGTCAACGCCAAACGCCAGGGGGAAAAATCTCAAAGCCATAGTCAAACGCTTCGTTAAATTCGCGGGATAATAACTTCTTGCTCGAACACCTTTTTGTCTAAGCAGAATGTTTCAAGCACCCGTAGCATTTTTACACCAAAATTTTGAGTGTATTGCAAACATTACAGCACACTGATAAAACAGTAGCATTAGCTTTGTTCCTCGGAAAACCAGGAGAATGGAGATATGGTTTGGTCGATATTTCGGCAAAGTGCCTTCATCGAAAAAGAACCAGAAGTGAACTCAAAATTGCCCGCCGATGATCCTACTCTATTTTCTAGGTTATTTCTTGCCACAGAAAGCCACAGCTCCTACAGGACACCAACATTCAGGGAACCAAACAAAGAGCGACTGCCATCCACCACCAAAATACAGTGCCCACTCAAAAATGAGAATACGCGGACACGTGTACATGCAAACGAATTCAAGCAAACAGGCATTAGGCATCCGCCTAACTCAAATATGCATACTCGCTTGCTTGCACTCGCATGCCATACATCTCTGAGATACTCTCTTAGGCAACACAACAATGAAATGAACAAATTACATTGACCTGGAGTCAGGTATAAAGGTCACATCAAGGTCAAAATCAACCTGTTTTATTGCTCTAGCGCGTGCTGTGAGGGACAGTTCCTGGTGCTCATTCCGAATTTATTCATAAAAAGAATCGCATTATACATCTTCCATGGGTTTCTTAAACATCAGAAAAGGTCACTGACCAAAAATGACCTAAAGTCATCATCTTGCTTTTTGGGAACATACCGCCTAGCGAAACCTTTGTCGTTTATACAAATTTAAAACTCACAGCAGTTTTGTATGCTTTCGGTCACATGACCTTCAGGTCAAACTAGGTCAATAACCTAAAATGAGGATGTGGCTTTTTGCTTAGAACAGTTATCTAGGTTCTAGGGGCACTTAAGAGACCAACCTGAAGCCTGACCTTCTTGGAATTTGGTTTATTTGATCCTAAGGTTTCACCGGTAAGGTATTTTACCTACGAACCTCAAACTTTGACCTAAGTGAGGTCACGTACAGTCAACACTCCCTATGGACTTAGTGTCTCCAGCTCTCTTAGTTCCTGAGATCTCAGGGATCAAACTAACCCTCACCCGAGCGAAGGGTATCCAACCGGCACCCTAGCGCGTGTTAATGTGCACCTACGTTAATGTAAATAATTGGAAACAACATGGTTAGCCATAAACCGCATGTTGCCTGGATCTTAATATCGGCCCCAAAAGGGTGCAATCATCGCTGGCTTTTAGAGAATGTTGAAAACTAGAGGAGGTCTGTTTTTTTGTGAGAATAAATAATGTTTATAAGCTGCTGATTATTGATTGGTATTGACAAAGCCAGCTCGGCCAAACAGGGTGGGCATCCATTGGGCACCATCATCAAAAGCGCATTCTCACGCTAGGGTTCGACGCAAGTCGTCGAGCGACGAAGGCGGCTTCATTAGCTAACAACAATATGATCGGACCCGTTCCCAGGTCACGCGCTGTGGCGTCCTGACAGCGAGGCGGCTGGCACGACACGGCTGCCCTTCAGGGGGAGGAGTCAGACCGGTGCAGTAACGCCACTCGGGTTTGTGGCGTCCTGACAGCGAGGCGGCTGGCACGACACGGCTGCCCTTCAGGGGGAGGAGTCAGACCGGTGCAGTAACGCCACTCGGGTTTCGATGGCCGCTCGAAATGGGTGCATTACGTCGCCGACTGGCGGCCGCACCTTAGCCGGGCGGTGCCAATCGGCCCAGCAGGAGCGGCACCTCGGCCCGGCCATTACACGATTGGAGCCGCGAGCCGCGCGTGGCTCGTGTCACGGCTGATGGAGATGACAGGCGCTGATTATGCAGACGCAGGGTCCCGCGGTCCGACGGCAGCCGGCCTGTTTGCCCCACTATGTTTGGCACAGTAAGTTTTCCGCATAATTTCACAGATCATAATGGCTCGCATCGAACAAAACACTGAAAGCCAATTTTCAATGACGTGGAGGCCTGTCATGCAGCACGCCTACCTTGCAAAGAGGACATGCACTACCGCTGTCGTCCCCACTGCGGCTTCACGAGATATAGTGACAGGCGCAGTTCTGGATGTAGCACGACTCTTTGTAATGGCATACAGCTGCACAGACCAAGTACCAGCCACACAAAAGGAAACGACCATTGACACCGACTTCTCTCAGTGCGCTCACCTGCTTTGATAGAAACCAGTGAGTAACGACAACACAAGCAGAAAACGCCGGCCATGAGTAGGCGTTCGATCGAGCATGAAAGCCACCAGTACTCAATACATCAATAACAGCTTCAGGCTATGGGTTTAAAGAAGTCGACCGAAACTTCCCAACGTCTCGAAACATGGCGCCCAGCGCACCAGCTATACACCTCGCCTATGCCTCGGCCTTCGGCGAGAGTTGCGCGGCCTGTCATCGACCTGACGGATGGCTAGAAATACCCGCTCCGAGCGGGCGGGCGGCCGCTCTGCCCCAACGGGCAGTCGTCCGGCCTGGCGGACGGGCGGCCGGGCCCGGTGCGCACATCGATCTGCGCTTCTGCCACCGGACACAGAGCCCCGACTCGGGCCGGTGGTGGCGGTGCGGTACCGGGTGCGGATCTGCACTTCTGCCACCGGACACGGAGCTCCGACTGGGGCCGGTGGTGACGGCGCGGTACCGGACCGGATCTGCGCTCTTGCCACCGGACACAGAGCCCGACTCGGGCCGGTGGCGGCGGCGTGCGGTACCGGATGCGGATCTCCGACTAGAGCCAATGGTAGTGGCGCGCGGCACCGGACCGGATTGTAACAGACCGGATTGTAACACACCTTCGCAGGGGCACACAATCCACACCGAGCACCAGTGCATACTGCAGTGCATTTTTGCTGTGCCTGGGCAAAGTCTCTGGGAAGATGCTCTCAACAGCCTTTAAAAAAATGTGAGACGCCTTCATAAAGGCTGCTTCATTCACTACGGCTCACCACCCACTTGCACATGGAGTAGGCGGTGTGAGCATAGACGAGAAATCAGGCAAAAGCAGACCGAGAAGCCGGGCAGAATGTGCGCCGTCGGTTGCTACGATGGGAAGGATATTGCACCCAGCATAGCGGGAATAACCAGGCACCAGCGCGCAGGGCTGGATATATTCGACGCGGCGGTATTTGGTACCGCCCACATACATAGGAATGATGTGCCTTTATGTTTCGGCCACCCATCGCCATGTCTAAATCTGACGGGAATGTCGTATAAACAAATATCCGCCCATAACGTGTCGAAATTGCCAGAACTGTGGCATGAACTACGCGCACATCAATCCGCGCCCCTGCCGCCGGTCACGAGGCTCGAAACGGCGCCATCTTCTTGGCAAATGATTCCGTTTTACTTTGTGCAGAAATGTTTGCAGACTGGCGCAGACCGCAATCACGGACTAGTCTGTTTACACAGACACTGGGCGTACGTCATCCGGGCCATAGACACGTTCTCACTCACCCAGATACTGTGTTTCAGTGAGCTGCTCGTCACCGAGCTGCTTCCACTTGCCCTCGCTGGGTTTGAACTTGATGGAGTAGTAGAGCACATCCACGTCCGGCTTCTCGATCGGCGGCTTCCAGGAGAGCAGGAAGCCATCGGGCGCGTCCTCCATTTTGATGTCCCGAGGCGGGCCCGGCTTAGGGCCTGAAGCCGGGATCACACACGCCGCGTCACAGGTCGATCGGTGTGACGGCGCGACAGACGGCGCAACAGGCTGGTCATCGGCGAACGTGTACTACGCGCAGCCAGACAAATCTCAGATGCACGGAAACCAGACCTGTTTCGGCCAGATACAAAGAGCGCAGATGAGACGAGATTTCAATGCCGTAAAAATTCTCAACGGCCTATGCTAGACGTGACCCACGCACCATCAGTGCCATCCTATTCCCTTGTTTGTTCCGGCATTACAAACATCATTAACACTCAACGGCGCAGCAGGAACATGCGAACATGCTGTCAAAGGCTGCAAGCTACGGATCGCTCAATGAAGGATGCAAAAAACCACTGCGAGACAGATGAACACATCATGCAAATAAAGAGAACAAAACCCGATTCCGTATTACCTTTGGACACAAAAACTGCCGGAAAATATCCTGTGCCGGTCTGGTCGGTCGGCAAACCACCTGTCCGTCAAATAAACAAACAACTCAACATCAAATAAACCATCGGACGGAAGGCAGCGCAAACAGCTGGAGCCGACGCGCTGAGTCGGCCCGCCGCCGGCATAAACGAAAACCTCAGAGGCGGTACGGCCGACGTACAAACGCGGGCTCCAGTTCCAGACGGCCGGCGGGTGCGGCACTCAGCCCCGCCCCGCAGGCCGTGACAGGAGGCCCCGGCCAGGGCTGCCCAGCCCCGGCGGCTCGGCAAGGCGCCGGAGAAATCACGGATCGGTGACGGCCTGGCAAGGAAGAGTGGTGAAGAGTGGTCCATGGAGAGGCAAGACAGGAATCACAGCTGTCCCCAAATCGACCATCCACCTCCCGATGAATGCAGTGTCTTTTTACACAACGTCGATTGAATGTGATGTGTGAATGCGTCACACGGCCAGACGGCGGTGACGAAAGTTAGACACATTTTCGGAATTTTCGCCAGATACCAAAGTGCAGGGAGTTTCTCACACTTCCGCAGGGGCTGGATTAAATTGCATAATGTCTATATTTGTTTCCTAGTCAACAGCTCATAAAGACAATTTTGGCACTCACATATGTATTTGTTTGGGGGGGAGGGGTACAACTAAGGAGCAAACACAGAATCCGCTCAATATTTTAAGCACTTTAACTGCGCCATGCAACAATTTTGTGTATTTTTTGTGGACCTACCCAATCTGAGTCAGGTCGAAAGGACATCAATAATCTGATCCACTGCCTACAACACGAGTGACACCTCGGAATTATTTGATACGAGACACCTGCATGGCCATGTACTATCACACGCCCGCCAGATGTTTCTTCTAAGGAGACGTATGAACAGATGTCTGCTAACATTAATCATGTTTGAAATTATCCAAGCTTGAAGAACCCGTCCGTTAACGGGGGATTCATGAGCTGGTATTCCGAGGAACAATTGCATGACGCATAAGCCTATGTCATGCTGTGAGCCAATTCCAGTTTCTGAGATAAAACTATGCGCTTTGCAAAGGAGTGCGAATGGGTATTACGCCACGCGACATTGTCTAATTATCATATAGTAGAGCACTCCTGTTCATTATTCATACACGTCGTTGCCAGAAAAGCGGACGGATTTATATCATTCCTTCTTTAGTCGTTTTTTGCATCGTGACACCAAACATTGGTTTTCGGAGTATTCGATGCTATTTTGTATCTGACCACCGGGTTTTTCATGCCCCACTTAGCTTGAACGGTGCATCATGTACCACACGTAACCCGCAAATCGTTTCAGGCCCCGTACCGCTCGGCTGCACGCTGTTAAAATGACGGCGTGGTGCGTCTCTGGCTTCATGGTCTTTACGACCATTCACGTGCGCTTTTTTAGGTCCGGGATGGTTTCCAGGCCCCACGAGTGTGGATGCAATTTCAAATCCCCCCAGAGAGAGCAACCTGGGGGACGCAACCGACAGCATGTACGGGCCAGTTGTTTGTCTCTCTCAATGCAATTTATCTTAGTCTCGACCACTTTCTGAGCCACTGTCTCGTCTCTTTCGTTGTTGTGACGTCCTCCCACCACTCTGGCTGGCTTGACATGTCCTCACTGTCCACTGCAGACTAGCCTCAAAGCCGCCCAAAACTCGTGAAGGGCCGCCAAGCACCACCCGGCCCCCACGGTCGCTGCAGACCTTCGACACGGACGTTGTGTGACCATCTGCAGTCGTAGCGCTCTAAAACTCTCAATCATCCTCACGACTGCTGATGGTGCGTCAGGCGGTACACTTTTCCCTGTGCAGTGGTGCTTCACAAACCTCACTGGGAGTATCCGTGCACTCAAAACGATAGTTTGGCTGTTGACTTTAACGTCTGACGACACGCGCTTCTCGTCGCTAAACCAAACTTGGTACATGCGTGACGGTGGACTTACGAGAACGTAGGAACCAGACACTGAAGCACGTGCACGCTGTCATCGATTAGTAAGAGCTTCGGATGTGAGAGGCATGGGAACAGGTTGAGCTCTTGTCTTGCCAGCCCTCCAGCAGTTGCCTCGCCGCAGCCTGCTCATGCCGGACCCGAAGAGTGGATTTGTGGGGGCTCCGCAGCAACACCTGTCTTGCTTTTCAAATTTCGGTTGGGATTCTTTTGGTGCCTTTCCTTGTTTTCTTGGGCCGACTTCGTCACGTTTTCAAGACCGCCATTTGCGAGAAACTTGTGCCCATTGAGCTAAACCGCGTTTGATGGACGCGCTTTTCGTGTCTGCCACTTGAATTGCTATTCGGGATTTTGAGTGCCGTTTTTGCGTCTTGACGACTTATTTTGTTACAAACCACCATTTTGCTACGCTTACTTTCTCTTCTGTGCACGGCATCATGGTGCCTCTAGATTGGCATAGATATGCAACTAAAAATCATTGAGGTGGTTTTCACAAGTCATTCGCATCGTGTAATCGTTTCCTATGCCGACTGCTACTGCTTTTCCAGGAGGAAGTATGTCCGCTTTTCCGGGAACTCCCGGTGCAAGACGAGCCTGGGCTCTGGCGAAAATGCTCAATGTAAATCCATGATGGTAATGTAAATACAAAAAAGGCAGAGACCGAGGGCGAGAGCAATCATAAAAGACATGGAAATGTAGATGGAGATGTAAGAGATGATCTTGGAGATGGTCTTGCCTTGCAGCTGGCTGTGCTCCCTATTCGGCCAATTGGACGTGTTTCGTATATTGTGAGGTCATGTACATATTTTCAGCGATGTCCCGTCTCAAAAGCAGCAGTCGGTTCTATCGTGTCATCAAATTGCAGTCCTGTCTATTGTACGCATGCCGTCGTGAACAGGACCACCTGTGCACCTGCGTTGGGCAGACCTGCACGAAACAAGCTGCGTGTATCGCAGCCTAAGCAAGACGCACCGTCTTCATGTCATCCAGCGACGGAGCATGGCTTGCTGAGTAGTCAAGTCGCTTCATCTTAAACACAAGCCTTCCACTCATGATATCGGTTCGAGTTCCCCAAAGTGATTATTTTATTTTACGACCACTTAATAAGGACCCTACACGGCCTGATAGGCAAGCGAAGGAGGGGGTGGATCTCTGCTCTCTCTCTGAAACCGGCCCCTTCCTCCCAAGGAAGCTAGATCCAAACAACTTTCTCAGTACGACTGTCTTCTGCCTCTTAAATGATCTCTCCATTTAAGAGATCAACATCAGGTAAAACGACGGAAGTAACTTCCAGGCAAGGTCAAGTTCGCCAGATACCTACGCACGCGTATGCAATTACAGACACATTGAATGTTTCCGGTCCCAGCTCTGTTTTGCCTTGTTTCGCTTTGCCAGCTTAGCTCTGTTTCCAGATCTGTGCTGTTTCCAGCTGTGTGAAGGGGCTATCAGGTGGCGTGGCGTGGCGAGGCCTTTAAATCAGACTAAGCAGGGCCCTCGGTGAGGGGGCCATCACGTGACGTGGTGAGGTCTCAGCCCGGCAACAAAACTCTCTCTCTCTCTCTCTCTCTCTCTCTCTCCTCTCTCTCTCTCTCTTCTCTCTCTCTCTCTCTCTCTCTCTCTCTCTCTCTCTCTCTCTCCCCCTCTCTCTCTCCCCTCTCTCTCCCCCCTCTTCTCTCTCCCCCCCTCTCTCTCCCCCCTCTCTCTCTCTCTTCCCCCCCTCTCTCTCTCTCTCCCCCCTCTCTCTCTCTCCCCCCTCTCTCTCTCTCCCCCTCTCTCTCCCCCCTCTCTCTCTCTTTCTCTCTTACTCTCCCTCTCTTGCTCTCTCTTACTCTCCCTCTCTTGCTCTCTCTCTTTCTCTCACACTCTGTTTCTCTCTCTTGCTCTCTCGCTCTAGTACGGCTGTTATGCGGAGCGCGCCGGCTGCCGTGACAGCGCTCGGTCAGCCTGGCCGAGACAGCCCAGTGACAGGGCGCCGGAAAGCCGAGGCGACTCAGGACCGGCTACAGCCAGCGTCGGCGGCCGATCGATCCGGACGCAGCGGCCGCCAGCGGCGTCTCCGGCCGCCGCCGGCGCACAGCGCGCACGCTGGGGCCCGTCCTCATCCCCGGATCCCCACCATACGTGATCGTGAAATTTCAGTTCAACGGCAGAACTTTCTGGCGGAAGTGTTATGTGTCTCAATGCTCGGCACGATCCTTCCCACCATCTCGCCTCGTCTGACCTCGAGCGGTCGCTGTCACCGGTCACACTCCATCCCAGCCCGTGGAAAATAGCGAGCGCATGCAGGCGCTCGGCGCTCCAACTGATGGAGCCACGGGCCGGGCATATGTTTCTAGAGACGACTGATACATACATTAAAAGGGGGATTTGCTTCCTCTAAATTATTTTTGATTGCTTTAACGCGTTGCATGCATTGGGAATCGCACGTTCTGTCCGCACAGTCTATGC